GGTTCAGCTCCTCCATGGCAGTGGCCACCACGTCAGCCACATCTGCCAGGTCCACGCCACGTAGCTCACACTTGGGGGAGCCGTCCACGCACGCATACACCTGATCTTCTGTGAAGTAATCCCAGCGCAGCACCTCAAAGCGGGTTTTTGGCTGGAATGGGGGAGGGATGCCAATGGGCCACGTGGCGCTGTGGTCCCCGTCTGCAGACAGACTGCTGGAGTTCTGGATTTCCAGCTGAAAAAGCAGAAACAGAGGAGTCAGAGCCAAAGTGGGCATAGGTATGGCTTCCAGTTCTTTCTGCAGGGCCCCTCCTGCTAACATATGATAATCAGAAATTTGGTACTGCTGTTTAGGACAGGAGCGGCTAAACAAGTTTGTACTGCTTTCAGACCGATTCCAGCAAAAGAGTGTCAGGCTTTCACCAGAACTGCACACAGAATACAATAAGCTGCTTTCATTGGCAAGAGCTGCACTTTGTCCCACCCCACCCTGAGTTTACTGCCAGATCTTGGCACACTGCCGGCCCAATCATCCCAGACTGCCACAGCTCCAGGATCTGCCTGGGTCCAAAGCTGCTCACAGCCTGTTTGGCCTTATCAGAAGTCACAGGCATGCGTTGAGAGGTCAGAATCACGCAGCTAAGTTCAGCTAGAGCTGAGAAGGATTCAAAAGTCCACACGGCCCAGACAAACCACCAGGCAGAACCTCCTAGTTCAGACCACAGGGACAGAAGCCCTAAGGACTGCTCTCTAGACAGCACTGTCACCACCGCAGCCACAGAAGCTCAGCTGATCCCACCCCAGAACGGTTCCAGGCCAGAAAGTCCTCACATTAGAGCAGAAAGGTGACCCAGAGAGGCTGAAAAGCCCATGGGGATGGCAGGAGGAGCCCAGTTGTCCCAACTAAGCCAGGTCTCACCTGGAGCTGCTGGATCTCCTGGTATGTCCTCTCCAGCTCCACCTGTGCAAAGTGCTTGTGCAGTCGGTACATCTGGACAGGGTCCAGCACAGGGTGGACTGTGAAAGCATTCTGGAAACGGGGGTCAGTCTCTCGCTCAGGGTCTACGTTCTTCCCCAGCTCAAAGTACTGGTAATGCAGGCCCTGTGTCAGCAAGGAGAGACATGTTACAGCTGGCCCAGACCTACAGTCCCACCCCACTGGTTACAAGCACAGCAAGCTCAAGGGAAAACAGCACACGAGGGCTGGTCCCACAGGCCCTGGGAGTGGGCAGGGCTGGTGAGACACTGCCCAGAGGCTTTGCTCAGCGCAGGGGAGGAGGGAAGGTGTGACAGGAACTCAGGCCAGGCTGAGGTGGCAGGGATCGAGCACCCTCACAGCCCAGCTCCATTGCAGGATCTACCTCATGCTCCTCAGCACAGTTGATGGCTGTGTAGTCAATGATGCAGCGACCCAGCCACTCGTCGGGCCGGGCACTCAGGATGTCATTGCGGCAGTTCTCCTGTGCGCGTTTCTCCGGGTGTGGCTGCAGACGCAGCAGGAGGCTGCGGGACAGCAGGTACCCAAAGCCACCGTAGCAGTAGCGTCCCTCAGTGTCTCCGCCAATGAACTCCTCCGGGCGGCCCAGGTACAGGTGGGTGTCAATGCTGAGGTGAGCGACCAGGCGGCTGATGCGATGTGCTTCTGTATAGGTATCATCCTGCACCAGGAAGAACCAGTCAAAGTCACTCACATAATGGTCCAGCAGGTACTTGACGGTCTGGTACATGTTCCAGATGGGCCGCTCGTCACTGTGTGTCACCACTGTCATGCCATGGGGCACCTTGCGGCCCCGCGTGCCCGTGAAGTACACCAGGCGCTCCAGGCGGTGGGCCAACGTGCGGTTCACAGCCACTGCCAGCGTGTTCAGAGTGCTCTTGGAGGTCAGCACACCCACAAAGAGCCGCTGCCGCATCCCCAGCTCCGTGCTGATGTACCGGGTCCTGCAACAGGGAGAGCGTGTGTGACGCAGCCCACAATCAGGGCGCTCCACCACCATATCGGCCCAAGCCCTCCCCATCTCCCCCTGCTAGCACAGACTTCACAAAGGCAGCGAGGCTCAGCGTCCAGGCTCCAGTATTAAGAGCCTTTTGCAGAAGAGGGAGAAACTACTCCTAGGCTTGCAACCACGTGGACAAGATATTGGCGCAAGAAACCACACAGGGACCCAGAGGCTGTCAGGGACACTGCTAGCAGTGGGTCCTTGGCCAGAGTCACAGCAGAGCGCTCTGGTTAGGTACCCTGGTACCTGAGCCGCTACTCTGACCCGGTCCGGTCAAACAGCAACCCCAGCCAGCAGCCTACAGCTGCAAATCAGCCAAAGAGCTTTCCCAAGCCTGCTCTCCCTCCAAGGCCCTGCAGCCCCAGCACTGGCTCCATCCCCACCGGGACAGGGACATAGGCGAGAAGCCTAGATCCCCCACCCCATCTGAGATCACAGGAGACCTTCTCTTTTTGCTGTCATGACAGCCCAGCTCATACAAGAAGCTCACAAAAGGCTGGATGCAGCTAAAATAGGGAAACAGAGCAGCTGCATGAGGCAGGGCCCCAAACCTCCCCCACCCACACACCAGACACCCTACGCTGCTGCTAGTCCAGAGGCATCCTCCAACCTGGGACATCTGAGCAGGGAGCTGGGCAGAGAGGCACCTTCTCGCAGCCTTTCCCTTCGCATGGCTCTCTGCCAGGCAGGCCTCTGGGAGCCAGGAGAGCGATGCCTACGTGAGAGCCCATGCCACCCTCCAGGCAAGGGAGGGTCCAGGGCTGCGTGACCTGTGCCAGCCCCCAGGCAGGCAGTTCCCACGTGAAAGTGCATGGCCTGAGCCCAGCTGCCAGCATGGGGACAGCTGGGGCCCCCTCCCCACAGCTGCCCCCAGCTGCCAGACTCAAAATTACTTTCAGGTTTAATTATTCCAACGTGGCCCGGAGGCAGGAAGCGACCCCCCCCACCACACTCCCATGCTGCTGCCTCGCACACACAGGCCCCATTCAGCCCCCTGCTCCCTCTGTCCGCCCACCTCCTCGCAGGGACAAGGAAGCCCTTTCACTGCTGGCTCCATGTCATCCTGGGGCTGCTGGGACAGGGCACACCCAGCCCCAGGGCAGGTTGAGGGTTGCAGAGTGCAGCGGGACATGCCACGTGCAGCGGGACATGCCACCGCAGGACGTGTCCCTGTCGGGGTAGGACAGCAAGGAGGAAACAGGCTGGGGCAGGGTGTCATGCAGAGTGCGCTGCGGCCCAACAACTTTTGCACCACGGCAGCGCAGGCACAAGGCTCCTCTGGGCTGAGCGCCAGGAGGGAACAGCTCAGCTCCCAGCACTCGCAGGGACAGTGGCAGAGGAAGGGTTAAGGAGAAGGGGGAAGGAGGTATTGTATGAGCTCAGGAAATGGAGGGGAGGAAGGGAAGCAGCAGAGAAAGGCTCTCCAGCAGCCCATAGTGTTGTGAGAAAAATCAAGCTGTAGATCCCAAGACAGTACCCCGGTAATTGCAGGAGCAGAGAAGCACCATGCCAGGTGCCCTTTGCCTGCTAAAAACTCCCAGCATATGTACGGGGGCAAGGGAATATCTGAGCAACGGCCAGAAACATGCCCATGCCTGCGCGCACAGAGTTTGACCTCAGCTATTCCCTCACAAAGCCCTGGTTAACAGTCCACAGCTCTTCCTCCATCTGTGCTGCAAATGAAAGGAATTAGCCCAGGCCCTGCTCCTGAGCCTGCCCAGCAACCCAGACCTCATTACTAAGTCACATAAAGCTCCCCATCAGCCTGAAGAAATCAGCTGCACACACGGACACAAGCAAAGCAGAAATGGGACAGAAAGCGGCAACAGGGAGTTTTGTAGGCGACATGGTGCCAGAGAACAGGAGCAGCAGGCTGCTTTCACCCAGCGCAGTTCGAGCAGGCTCCTCCACGTGCCCCCAAGGCAGCCAGTGCCCGCAGCGCCTGCACGGCAGCTCGGCCACATCAGGTAGCGGCAGAGCCCCTGGGACCAGGCCCTCGGCTCCCGCAGCAGGGCAGGATTTCACAGTTGCACGCCACCTTGTTAGAAGGTTTTCTGAGCTGGGTTGTCAGAGTCCTTTTGAAGCTCAGCAAGTCCGGTAAAGGATGTGGCACATTGGGGTCACTTCATTCCTGTTCCCAGCATGGGGCACCAGCCGGACAACAGCTCTTGCTGGCTATGGTTAGGGCAGGGCTCAGGGAGATCAAAAGCGGCCACAACCACAGCTGACAGGTGCCTTCTCTCCCACTTGCTAGCTCTCCCTCTACACCCCTACACAGGCCACAGAATCACACCACAACTCAGACAAAGCCCCCCAGACTCCCCTCAAGCCCTGGGCTGGGCATGCCAAATCTCAGCCCAAGCTGGAAGGATCTCAGGCCAACAAGAGGGCCAGTTTACATTAGACAACAGAGCTGCAAGTAGCAATAAGGGGTGAAGAGTGCTGAGGGCAGAGCCCCACCACCACACGAGGGCTGCACAGAGCAGTTCGCGCCAACCCCAGGCTAGGGCAGCAGCAATGAGCAGGCGGGCAGGCTCCGGCAGTGGGCTGGCTCCCAGCAGGCAGCCGTGGCACAGTCAGATGCCTCTATCGGAAGTTATTATTGCAGAAGGACTTCCTGAGCAGCCGGGAAACAGCCCTACACTTTCCTGTCGGACCCCCTGCCACGCGGCGGGGGGCAGCTGGCCGCTTGGCTTCAGGCAGCCAGCAAGGGGCACAAGGAGGTGGCGGGGGGGACAGGAGGCATCTGGCTGCTTCATGCAGGGTGACCAGCCACTTAACGCAGGGCAGCAGGGGGCAAAGAAAAGCTGATCGCTTGGCGTGGCTGGCCAGCAGTTTGGCATGGGGCTACGGGGTGCACGGGGGAGCTGGTTACTAAACACAGGGCGGAGAGCAGGGAGCATGGGGCAGCTGACTACTTGGCATGGGGTGGGTAGAGGGGGCAGAGGGCAGGAAACGTGGGACACAAGGCAGCCGGTCCACGGGCATAGGGCACAAGGCAGCT